GTGGCATCTCTGTGCCCTCCACCACCACGTTTGTGTTTCCCACCTTGGTGTCTTCTTGACGGGCTGGGGTCGTAATATCCAACGTTCCCCACCATCCATGGTTGCCAAGATGAAGAACCCTACCTTGAGCTGTTCCCTTGGCCTCACATCACTGATGGTCCCGTCCCCATCAGAGGAGGTCCCCAAGGATCAAAGTGACGTCTGCTCAGGTCTTCCTCCCTGCAGGTATGAACGACTTCAGCTACCTCCACACCAACTGCTTTGAGGTGACGATCGAGCTGTCCTGTGACAAGTTCCCACACGAGTCGGAGCTTCCCCAGGAGTGGGAGAACAACAAGGAGTCCCTGTTGCTGTACATGGAGCAGGTAGGGGGAAGGGGAGGGACAAGGGGTGCATCAACCTGGGGTCGTGGGACAAGGTCCATCCTCTGAGAAAGCCTTCCGGAGGTCCAGCCACGGTGACCATCCAATTAGCCGGTCCTTGCATATTTCATACGCAGGTTTCATTGTTGCAGAAGACTTGAGAACCATGAAAAGTGGTTTGGATAGTCTGCTCCCTGCTTCAGCGCTGGGTTCCTGAGCCACCAAGAAAAAGGACAGAATCTTCTGTTATTTGCGGGGTCTTCTGCTCTCCCTTCGCACAACTGGCCTCTATATGGGGACCTCCGGCACTTTCTTAAGACTTTTCCTACCCTTCTCCTGATTGGAGAAAGTCTATTAAGATAACCCAAACAGGCCCTACTCCTGAAGCTGTAGAAATGAAGAGAGGTGCCAGATGTAGGGAACAAGAAGGAGCAAGCCGCCTAAGGGCCACCTTCTCTTAAATCGCTGGCCCGCCCCAGAAAGGGGTAGGATTCCCACAACCAGAGTTATGGCAGAAAACCTCCCAAAAACCGCTTCTCCATCGGTGCCATTCCTCCTGGCACCAATGGAGGAATGGTTTTTGGGAGGGTTTTCTGCCATAATCCTGGTGGCAGGAATCCTATCCCTTTCCAGGGCAGGCCAGCAATTTAAGAGCTTCAAAAGGCAATGGATTTTGGCAGAGGACGTGTTCATTCCCTCCACTCCTCATCCTTGCACGCTATAGAACTGATCTCCCACCCTCTGCAACTGACAAAGCAGCATATATTAAATCTAATATGTCTTTGACATCGCTTTTGTCGGGCAATAAAGCAGACTTCTCCCAGCTGGTACCCTCCAGGTGCGTCAGACTACAATTCTCATCATTCCCAACCAGCAGCCCCATTGGTTGCAGGCCAACACATCTGGGGGGCGCTGGCTAGAGTGACCAGATTCCACTTTTGTGTTTGCTGCTTGGTGGCTCGTTCCGTCGTCTGCACACGTCTTGGCGCACGCGGGTTTTTTAGTTCCAAGCACCAACCCCCGGATGCGCTGGCTAATCAGACGTATCGTTACAGACCCACAGAGGCATCAAAGGCGTCGTCCGAGACAAAGACACGGAGCAAGGCATTGCAGACGCCATCATTTCTGTCGACGGCATCAACCACGACATCAGGACAGGTACGGAAAGGCTCGGCCATGGCCGGTTTTCGCAGCCAATGCAACAGCCCCGCCTAACCCGCCCCGGCTTGATGCTGCTCCCCGTTCACCCCTCTTCTGTTTGTCCGCCGGCAGCTTTCGACGGGGACTACTGGCGCCTGCTCAACCCCGGCGAATACGAGGTCACGGCTGCAGCTGAGGGCTACCACCCTGTCACCCGAAACTGCCACGTCTATTACGAGGACAACCCCACCATCTGTGACTTCCACCTGACAAAGACCCCAAAGCAACGCCTGCGAGAGATCCTGGCCAAAGGGGGAAAGGTCCCCAAGGACCTCGCTTTGCGCCTTCGCCAGCTTCGGCTACGCAAACTGCAAGCCCAGAGACGGGTGCAGTGAGGGGAAGGGAACACCTCCAGACGTTGCCCCAACTAGGACGTGGCTGTCGGGCCCTTTTTCAGCAGGAGCCCTTTCAGTTTTCAGAGACGGAGATCATGCCTGTCCTTGGCCCACGGAAAATGAATGCACTTCCTGGGCTTTCAGAACAACTGATAAATAGTAGCCTGGCATTTACTGAGAAATATTGTTGATAGCATCATAAATACCTGAACATTTCTCCTTCCTCTCCCTTTCTCTTCTTCCTTCCTTCCTTCCTTCCCTCCTTCCCTCCTTCCTTCCTTCTCCAACTCTTTTCCCCCTCCCTCCCTTCCTCCCTCCTCTTTTCATTCTTTCTCCTTCTTCCTTCCTTCCTTCCTTCCTTCCTTCCTTCCTTCCATTCTTTTTTTCCTCCCTCCCTTCCTTCCTTCTTTATTGGTACTGCTCCTTTTAAGACAGACTATCTGGGCTCTTTAAATCACACCTCTATAATCCTTTCTCTCTTTTCTGTCTGCCTTAATCCCAGAATTTCAGGAGCTGCTTGTCACTACTTAAAGAACACCATGTGCTCTGCTCACAGACAGAAAACCTCTCTTCTGTGTCACTTCATCTATCCCACAGTTGAATTCTGGACTTAAAAACTGAAGATGCAGGAAATCCTGCCCAGGTGTATCTTCATTTGTTCTATTTCTGTTCAATCTCTAATGCAGTGTTTCTCAACCTTGGGAACTTTAAGATGTGTGGACTTCAGCTCCCAGAATTCCCCAGACAGCATGGCTGTCT